ACCAGTGCCTGGAGGCTCAGTGGGCTTAGATGGTCGGCTAGTTCCAGGCCATGATGCAGTCCCACTGGAATAAGGGCCTCCAGCTCTTTGCCACCAGCGGTGCTTCCCTCCAGCCTTCATGGAAAGCCCCGCACCAGGAGACTGAAGCAGACCCCATGTCAGAATTTCTGCCCCCCTCTAATCAGCACAAAAAGACCCCGAAGGGGGAGACTCTCTGCAGCAACACAAACATTGATTGCATGTCCATAGTTTGAAGACCCCTGATTTAGGTAAGATAAAGGTTTTCCTCACACATATGCCTTAGTTGTTCCCAACTCTAGGTGGTGGTGCTCAGCTCCATTTCAAAGCCAAAGAGCCAGTGCTGTCCGAAAAAGTCTCCATGGTCATGTGGCTGGTATGACTAAACACCGAAGGTGCACAGAATGCTGTTACCTTCCCACCAAGGTGGTTCCTATTTTTCTACTTGCATTTTTACATGCTTTCGAACTGCTAGGTTGGCAGAAGCTGGGACAAGTAATAGGAGCTCACTCCATTACATGACGCTAGAGATTCGAATTGCTGACTTTTCTGATCGACAAGCTAAGCATCTTACCCACTGAGCCACTGTGTCTCACTCACTTGACCCATTAGGTCAGGCTAAAAATGTGGTCTACCCTGACAGAGCATGGCTCTGTCACATCTCCTGACCTTAAGTATGCATTCTCTAACTCAGGGGTCTTCACACTTGGCAACTTTGAAACTTGTGGACTTCAACTCCCAGAATTCTCCAGCCAGCTGGCTGGCTGGAGAATTCTGGGAGTTGAAGTCCACAAGTCTTAAAGTTGCCAAGTTTGAAGACCTCTGCTCTAACTGGTTTAGCTCTCCTCCCTGCAAAACCCCATGTCTTCTGGGGAGCATTTTGGATTTCCTTTCTTGGATGACTCAAATTTTCAAAGCTGTAAATTCATTAGTGTTACTCACAGAAGACCTCCAAGGTGACTACTGGAGATGCAGTGCAGCCAGCCCTGTTGCATACTTCACATTCATAAGATGTGTTGTAAGGTCCAGATGTTGCAGGGTAGGTCATTAAATTTGGACCACTGTATTTATATTCAATCGTAGAGGGATCTGACTTAAACCAGTTGAACCAATTATCATTTGGCTTACTACGGCCAAAAGAGCAATTCATCATGATGGTATCTCCTTCCTTAATGGGAAGATCATTTAAAATATCAAGCTGGACATCCTTGGGAGCATCTGAAAAAGTCAAATCAATACATTTCTCAGCAGAGGAAATAGACATGAGTATATTATGAGCATATGATAATATTAAGGAATGTTTATGTATAGAACCATTCACATTGCCTGGTGAAAATAAAGCAGTTGATAATCAATCCCTGATTAAATCCACATTGTTAAAATATCTGGGATCTTAACTCCCAGAATTTCACAGCAGGTTTGTTCGAGTTGAAGATCAGCTGAGTTGCTGAGATTAGAATAGAATAACAGAGTTAGAAGGGACCTTGGAGGTCTTCTAGTCCAACCCCCTGCTTAGGCAGGAAACCCTACACCACCTCAGACAAAGTGTTATCCAACATCTTCTTAAAGACTTCCAGTGTTAGGGCATTCACAATTTCTGGAGGCAAGTTGTTCCACTGATTAATTGTTCTATCTGTCAGGAAATTTCTCTTCAGTTCTAAGTTGCTTATCTCCTTGATTAGTTTCCACCCATTGCTTCTTGTCCTGCACTTATATGCTTTGGAGAATAGCTTGACTTCCTCTTCTTTGTGGAAGCCCCTGAGATATTGGAACACTGCTATCATGTCTCCCCTAGTCCTTCTTTTTCTTAAACTGGGCATACCCAGTTCCTGCAACCATTCCTCATATGTCTTAGCCTCCAGTCCCCTAATCATCTTTGTTGCTCTTCTCTTTGAGCAACAAAGATTGAGATACTTTGATCTAATTTTGCCTTTTAATCCACATTACCTTCTTCGCTGTAGCTTCTATGGTCTACATCCATCAAAGGGATGGCCCAGTGCAAAGCACACATATGAAATTATGTATGGGAAAAGAGAACTACGGTATGTTGAGATTACAGAAAAAGAGAACTATGTTTGAATTGTGTATTTAAAGCATCTCACTTTCTATGCTAGTTCCCTTTTTTGTAAGGAAATAAATTGCAACAGAACATCCAGCATAGCATGGACTCTAGATAGATAGATGATAGATAGATAGATAGATAGATAGATAGATAGATAGATAGATAGATAGATAGATAGATAGATAGATAGATAGATA